TGACTCAACTTCAAAGTCACCCTGTATAAACATTCAGCCCTAAAGGTACTTGAAACCAACCTGATTCAGCAAAAAGCCGTTTGTTAGAAAGGAAAGATATTTCTAAGTAACCGATCTGGAACGAACTGTACGGTGGTACGACCACAACAATTCAAGCCATTACAGTGCAACCATTGGAAAAACGCTCGCTTGTGTCAACCGTTGTTAAAGGCGCGTGATGCATTATTTTTTCGGACAGGTGGCCAAGCAGAAAGTATTAATATACTGCGGTGGTTGCTTCTTTAAGCGTGCGTGTATCTTACCTTTGTTATATTTACCTCGGGTACCAGCTTCATGAAGAAGATGCCAGGGCTGGTCAGTCCGGTTGGTTTAGCAATCTCTGTACCACTACAAATGTAATTATTCACCTTGGTATCAGAAACACAAATAAATATGAATATAAAGAATATTTGTCTGTTACAAGACCGATTTTATTAAGAAGACATCAACATTATAGATCCGGATCATAATGGACCAATGAGAAGATATCTCTCTAGTCGATTTTTTCTGCAATATCTCTCAAAGTGGCGAAAAAATACACGATTTGCGTAAGAAGGGTCTCTAATCCCCATATTACATCAAGAACTTTTTTAGCTGCAAAAACATACTTTCAGCTGATCCGGAGATCAAAAGCTATGATCCTGATCAACAATCACCAATTAGAAAGCGTTTTCGTAGAACTGGTGAATGACATATCCAAATTTAGAAATATCCCACTCTCGACTTCCGGGGTCAGAAGTATAAGGTCGTTTTTAAAAAAATCGGGTTGACCTTGAAATAACCTTCGAAGTCAAATCTAAACTCAGAATGTTCCCCTCTTTCGATTTCCAGAGTCAAAAGTATAAAGCCCATTCCAAGTTCGGGTTGAGCATGAAATGAACTTCAAGATAAAGGTCATATCGAATCTTAGAATGTTCTCTTTCAATTTCCGGGGTCAAAAGTATAAGGTCCCATTTAAGAAAATCAATTTGACCTCGAAATCACGGTCAAGGTCACGGTCAATGACATAACCAAACTGGGAATTTCCGTCTTTTGATTTCCGGGGTTAAAAGTATAAAGTCCCATTGAAGAAACTCAGTTTGACCTCGAAATGACATTCAGGGTCAAAGTCAAGATCACCAGTATATTTTTAATTAACATCCTACATTTGACCTCGAAAGTACGTTCTCAAAAGTATAACGTCCCAGATAAGAAAATCAAATTGACTTCGAAATGACAGTCAAGGTCAAAGTCATGATCACTAGTATTTTGTTTAAGCAGCGTCCTACAACTTTTGTCTTAGCCATTTTTCCCCGTCAGTATTTTCTGAGATGGGGGAAGTCGGAAACTTTAACGACTTGGTTAACATGCTTCTGCGACCTGACATCTTCATTCAAGTATAAACCTAAACAATTACCAATGAGAAAGCGTTTTCATAGAACTGGTGAATGACATATCCAAATTTAGAAATATCCCACTATCGACTTCCGGGGTCAAAAGTATAAGGTCGTTTTTAAAAAAAATCGGGTTGACCTTGAAATAACTTTCGAAGTCAAATCTAAACTTAGAATGTTTCCTCTTTCGATTTCCAGAGTCAAAAGTATAAAGCCCATTTCAAGTTGAGCACGAAATGAACTTCAAGATAAAGGTCATATCGAATCTTAGAATGTTCCCATCTTTCAATTTCCGTCGCCAAAGGCTATACTTGGAAATTTCATTCTTTAGATTTGCGCGGTCAAAAGTATAGGTCATTTTGAAAAAAATCGGGTTGACCTTGAAATTACCTTCAAGATCAAGGAATCATCGTATCGTAGAATTTATCTCGTCTTCAATTTCCGGGGTCAGAGGTAAAATGTCACATTCAATAAAATCACGGTCAAGGTCACGGTCAATGACATAACCAACCTGGGAATTTTCGTCTCTTTCGATTTCCGAGGTTAAAAGTGTAAAAGTCCCATTGAAGAAAATCAATTTGTCGTCAAACTGGTATTCAAGGTTAAAGTCAAGATCACCAGTATATTGTTTAAGTAACATCCTACATTTGACCTAGAAATGACGTTCAAGGTTCAAGGTCAAGGTCATGATCATTGATTGACACATCCTAATTTGGAACTTCCCTGTTTAGATTTCCGGGGTCAAAAGTTAAGAAATTCAGGTAAACCAATGAAATGAACTTCAAAATCAAGGTCAAGGTCATATCGAATCGTAGAATGTTCCGCTCTTCCAATTTCCGTGGTCAGAGGTCTATACTTGGAAATTTTCCTGTTTCGATTTGAGGGGTCAAAAGTATAGGTTGTTTTAAGAAAATCGAGTTGACCTTGAAATTACCTTCAAGATCAAGGACATATCGAATCTTAGAATGTTCTCTTTCAATTTCCGGGGTCAAAAGTATAAGGTCCCATTTAAGAAAATCAATTTGACCTCGAAATCACGGTCAAGGTCACGGTCAATGACATAACCAAACTGGGAATTTCCGTCTTTTGATTTCCGGGGTTAAAAGTATAAAGTCCCATTGAAGAAACTCAGTTTGACCTCGAAATGACATTCAGGGTCAAAGTCAAGATCACCAGTATATTTTTAATTAACATCCTACATTTGACCTCGAAAGTACGTTCTCAAAAGTATAACGTCCCAGATAAGAAAATCAAATTGACTTCGAAATGACAGTCAAGGTCAAAGTCATGATCACTAGTATTTTGTTTAAGCAGCGTCCTACAACTTTTGTCTTAGCCATTTTTCCCCGTCAGTATTTTCTGAGATGGGGGAAGTCGGAAACTTTAACGACTTGGTTAACATGCTTCTGCGACCTGACATCTTCATTCAAGTATAAACCTAAACAATTACCAATGAGAAAGCGTTTTCATAGAACTGGTGAATGACATATCCAAATTTAGAAATATCCCACTATCGACTTCCGGGGTCAAAAGTATAAGGTCGTTTTTAAAAAAAATCGGGTTGACCTTGAAATAACTTTCGAAGTCAAATCTAAACTTAGAATGTTTCCTCTTTCGATTTCCAGAGTCAAAAGTATAAAGCCCATTTCAAGTTGAGCACGAAATGAACTTCAAGATAAAGGTCATATCGAATCTTAGAATGTTCCCATCTTTCAATTTCCGTCGCCAAAGGCTATACTTGGAAATTTCATTCTTTAGATTTGCGCGGTCAAAAGTATAGGTCATTTTGAAAAAAATCGGGTTGACCTTGAAATTACCTTCAAGATCAAGGAATCATCGTATCGTAGAATTTATCTCGTCTTCAATTTCCGGGGTCAGAGGTAAAATGTCACATTCAATAAAATCACGGTCAAGGTCACGGTCAATGACATAACCAACCTGGGAATTTTCGTCTCTTTCGATTTCCGGGGTTAAAAGTGTAAAGTCCCATTGAAGAAAATCAATTTGTCGTCAAACTGGTATTCAAGGTTAAAGTCAAAATCACCAGTATATTGTTTAAGTAACATCCTACATTTGACCTAGAAATGACGTTTAAGGTCAAGGTCATGATCATTGATTGACACATCCTAACTTGGAACTTCCCTCCTTAGATTTCCGGGGTCAAAAGTTAAGAAATTCGGGTAAACCAATGAAATGAACTTCAAAATCAAGGTCAAGGTCATATCGAATCGTAGAATGTACCGCTCTTCCAATTTCCGTGGTCAGAGGTCTATACTTGGAAATTTTCTTCTTTCGATTTGAGGGGTCAAAAGTATAGGTTGTTTTAAGAAAATCGAGTTGACCTTGAAATTACCTCCAAGATCAAGGACATATCAAATCTTAGAATGTTCTCCTTTTTCAATTTCAGGGTCAAAGTCAAGATCATCAGTATATTTTTTAAGTAACATCCTACATTTGACCTCGAAATTACGTTCAAGGTCAAGGTTATGATCATTGACATATTCAAACCTGGAATTTTCCTCTTTAGATTTCCGGAATCAAAAGTATAGAGCCCAGTAAGAAATTCGGGTAGACCCTGAAATGACCTCCATAATCAAGATCATATAGAATCTTAGAATGTTCCCCATTTTTAATTTCTGGGGTCAAAAAAATATATTTGGAAAGTTCCCTGTTTCGATTTGCGGGGTTACACGTATAGATCGTTTTAAGAAAATCAAGTTGATCTTGAAACTAGCTTCGAGATCAAGGACATACCTAATCTTAGAATGTTCCTCTCTGTCATTTCCGGTGTTAAAAATATAGGATTTCATGTAAGAAAATCAGTTTAACCCCGAAATGATGGTCAAGGTCACGGTCAATGACATATCTTAAGACGAAAATTTCCCCTCTTTCAATTTCCTATGTCAAAAGTATAGGTCTCATGTAAAAAATTAATATGATCTTGAAATGATCTTCAAGGTCATGGCCAAACACATTCAAACTTGATAATGTTCCTTCTTTCGATTTCCGGGGTCAAAAATTGGGTTGACCCTCGATTTAGAACTTAGAATTTTCCCCTCTTTCGATTGTCGGGGTCAAAGGTATAAGGTCCCATTTGATGATAACATTTTGACCTTGAAGGGACCTTCTAGGTCAAGGTCGTGGACAAATATATACCCAAACTTAGAATTTCCCCTCTTTCGATTTCTGGGTTCAAAACCATACGGTTCCATTTAAGAAAATCAATTTGACCTCGAAATGACCTTCAAGACCAAGGTCATGGTCAAGGTCATATCCAAACTGAGAATTTTGCTCTTTCGATTTCCGGGGTCAAAAGTATAACGTCCCATATAAGAAAATCAATTTGACCTCGAAATGACATTCAAGGTCAAAGTCATGATCACTAGTATTTTGTTTAAGCAGCATCCTACAACTTTTGTCTTAGCCATTTTTCCCCGTCAGTATTTTCTGAGATGGGGTAAGTCGGAAAATTTCTTAACGCCTTGTATGGTTAACATGCTCCTGAGACCTGACATCTTCAATCAAGTATAAACCTAATTGTTTTGCAGAATGGGAGAAGTGAATAATGTTGTTTCTTTCTGTTTCCAGACATACGAGGCGTACGGTTTGATTCCTGAAACAGACACGGCAGCTGGAACGGGCGGCCAAGGTTTGCCGCCCATGTCCTCACTGCGGCCCAACGGGGCGGCAGCACAAGCAGCCACAACCACGGCGGCCGCAGCATTCGTTCACGCCGCGGCGGCGGATGGCGTTGTCTCAAAGGCACTCGGAGGGGTGAGTAGAAACATTTTTCAAATCGTTAAAATGAAAATGTTAGTCCGGTCTATAAGTGCCGTATCGTCAGTCGTCACTCGGCACATCACAACGGAGGCAGATGCTTTTTCAAGGTCGTGCATTCTCGCCTTCTTCGACCATCTACTGCCGTAATATAAACTCTTTGTAACTATTTCTACTTTTTAGTTCGGTTGGCTATGAAACCGTGTTTTTTTTAAACGATTATTTATTTTTTATCATCTGTTATATCAGCGTTATACAGGGTGTCCCAGAAGTCGACGTCAAGCCGAAACCGGGTGATAGGCATAACAGCTATCAGAAAAATATTTACAAAAAATTTATGTATGTGTTTTGAAAATTATAGGTCTTTGAAAAAAATATAGAAATTTCACACCCTACGGCAGTCTATCTACTCCTGTTACTACAATTATTAACTTTTTTTGATTTTATTTTTACAATGTAATGATGAATAATGCATCTTCAAACTGGTGTCTCAACCTTACTGCCAACTTTTCTCGTTCAGGAAAAATTGCCACTTATTTCCCTACCAAGTATTCCAAAGTAAAACTTTGCTCAACTTTAACTGGCTGTACTGGAAAAAAATGTACTACGAGAGTTTGGCAAGTAACCTTGAAAGTTGGCGCATTTAACAAGGATTCCAAAATGGTATAACACTTAGAAGATTACTCGTTAACTTATGCACAATTTTTATTTGAAGAAAAGCTGATGAAAATTTTTAAAAATTTCCTAATTAAACAGCGATTATGAAAACGCACAAGGACCCTTAAGGATAACTGTTTGCACAACAGTGGGCGTCAAAATGCTGCTGATGATGATTTACCTTTACAGCAAATGCTCAAACTGTTTTCCTTCAGCCGCAATACACGCTCGACATCTTCTTAAAAAGATCGGGTTATTAAACGAGCGAATCCACGGTTATTAACAAACTCAGCTGCTTCCAATAGTCTTTGCCGTAGCTGAGCTACATTTTGAATCGGCTTGAAATACACTTTTTCTTTTACAGTTCCCCAGTAAAAAAAATCTAACGGATTCAAATCTGGTGACCGGGCTGGCCACGGTATTGTACCAGACCGCCCTATCCATCTGCCTGGAAAGTTTTGAGCGAGATACTCTCTCACTGAGAGTGCATAGTGCGCTGGGCAGCCATCATGCTGAAACCACATGTCCCTGTAAATACTCAGTGGCACGTCCTCCAATAAATTTTCTAAATGATTTAGCAAAAAACCTAAATAAACCTCAGCAGTCAAAGTCTCTGGGAACTCAAACGGACCGATCATTTAAAATTCCTGTCCAATGGTTTATCTTGAAGCGATATTGAGATTTATCTTCTCTCATCAAATGTGGGTTTGCTACGTGCCACTCGTATAAGTTATGCAGGTTCATGTACCCATCTTTCTTAAATGAGGTCTCATCTGACCATAAAATTTTTTCAAAGAACCGTGGATCTTTCCTGTGCCTTTCTAACATTGTGCGACAAAAAGCAACTCGGGGCTCATAATCCCGGGGCAGAAGAGCTTGAACGCGCTGTACGTGGTATGGATGGAGCACGTTTTTTTGCAAGATTCTATGGGCTGTACTTTTGGGCACACCTGTTTTTAGTTCTATTGCACGCACTGAAGTACTCGGGTCTTCTTCGACAGCTCCTAGCACCACGTCTTCGTAAGGAAGGAAAGATCTTCCCTCACAGTGTGATTGGTTTGGTAGTTGGCCCTCTGAGAACAGTAAGCGGTGCACATTTGTGAACACTCGATGATCTGGATGACGAGCTGCATTCGGGTACCTCTCACAGTAAAGTCTCGCTGCAGCACTAGCATTGCATCTGCATTCCCCATAAATGAGGTGCATGTTAGCATATTCTTGTACGGTGTACACGGACATAGCGGCACTGCACAATCACACTATCAAAGATAGTCTAAGGAAAGCAAATGTTGTTTTGAAGAGCAATTAAACAGTCCAACTCCAAATCACAAGCGATCAACAGTCCAGTTCACGAATCCAAAATTAGTGACAGTACGAAATCAACAAGCACGAACATGTAAAGATGCGCAGTAAACGAAGGAGTACTGATCGGTATTAAAGTGTGCAATAGCAAGTAAGTGATGTGCTTCATCCATACCACATACAGCGTGTTCAACCTCTCCTGCTCCGGGATTATGAGCCCCGAGTTGCTTTTTGTCGCACAATGTTAGAAAGGCACAGGAAAGATCCACAGTTCTTTGAAAAAATTTTATGGTCGGATGAGACCACATTTAAGAAAGATGGGTACATGAACCTGCATAACTTACACGAGTGGCATGTAGCAAACCCACATTTGATGAGAGAAGATAAATCTCAATATCGCTTCAAGATAAACCATTGGACAGGAATTTTAAATGGTAAAATAATCGGTCCGTTTGAGTTCCTAGAGACTTTGACTGCTGAAGTTTATTTGGATTTTTTGAAAAATCATGTACAAAATTTATTGGTGGACGTGCCACTGAGTATTTACAGGGACATGTGGTTTCAGCATGATGGCTGCCCAGCGCACTATGCACTCTCAGTGAGAGAGTATCTCGATCAAAACTTTCCAGGCAGATGGATAAGGCGGTCTGGTACAATACCGTGGCCAGCCCGATCACCTGATTTGAATCCTTTAGATTTTTTTACTGGGGAACTGTAAAAGAAAAAGTGTATTTCAAGTCGATTCAAAATGTAGCTGAGCTACGGCAAAGACTATTGGAAGCAGCTGAGTTTGTTAGTAACCGTGGATTCGCTCGTTTAATAACCAGATCTTTTTTAAGAAATTGTCGAGCGTGTATTGCGGCTGAAGGAAAACAGTTTGAGCATTTGCTGTGAAGGTAAATCATCATCAGCAGCATTTTGACGCCCACTGTTGTGCAAACAGTTATCCTTAAGGGTCCTTGTGCGTTTTCATAATCGCTGTTTAATTAGGAAATTTTGAAAAATTTTCATCAGTTTTTTTTCAAATAAAAATTGTGCATAAGTTAACGAGTAATCTTCTAAGTGTTATACCATTTTGGAATCGTTATTGAATGCGCCAACTTTTAAGGTTACTTGCCAAACTCTCGTAGTTCATTTTTTTCCAGTACAGCCAGTTAAAGTTGAGCAAAGTTTTACTTTTGAATACTTGGTTGGGAAATAAGTGGCAATTTTTCCTGAACGAGAAAAGTTGGCAGTAAGGTTGAGACACCAGTTTGAAGATGCATTATTCATCATTATATTGTAAAAATAAAATCCAAAAAAAGTTAATATTTGTAGTAACAGGAGTTGACAGACTGCCGTAGGGTGTGAAATTTCTATATCTTTTTCAAAGACCTATAATTTTCAAAACACATACATAAATTTTTTTTAAATATTTTTCTGTTAGCTGTTATGACTTTGCCTATCACCCGGTTTCGGCTTGACGTCGACTTCTGGGCCACCCTGTATACCTAGAACAGCGCTGACGCTGATATGGAACACACACACACACATATCTTGGATGAAAATATAAGATATAACAGGTTTGTATACAAAGATATGAAATATAATAAGCATTGAAACATTTTTATGAAGTGAGAGGTAAATTTGAGCAAATCATGTAGACTATCGAAAATATGTTTTTAACACGTCTTTTATATTTACCATAATTACGTTAACAATTTTATGGTTTGTGGAATTCCGTTATAATGAATATCTGCGTTGTATGTGAATTACGGAAGAACGCCGTCATGTCAAGAGAGTCTTCGTGGAAAGAATGTTCCTTGAACGAATATGTTTTCTAGACATTAGTTTATTTATCAAAAACGCGTGTACGGATATAACAGTTTATGAATAAACAAATTAAGTGTAATTCACACAGTTCTGGGTTGCACTGGTGTCACTTTCGGTTATTTTACCTTTTTCTCTAACGCCGAAGGGTCAAAGATACACACATTACATATTATAATACTTTTACTAGTGAACCAAGCTTTTCGTGGTTATTAGAGATAATTGCAATTTATGAGTAGAATAGTGTGTAGAAGAGCCAATATAAAACATATTCGTAATAGACATTTAGAACACGTGTGGAGCCTGAAATGTTCTTCAACGTTACAGTTCAAAAGTTTCAAAAATGTGTTTATTTCAGAACATTATTAAACATTCGATGTTCAACATCACAAACATTTCACAGTTCTTTGTCAAATGTCTGCTGCTTCACTACCTTTTCTTTTTCTTTATCTGATGGATGGAAGTGACAATTCTTTTGCTATTACCGTGTTTTTCACCTTTAGAGCTCATCTTCTCTTTTTAGTGAGCTCCATTCTGTAGTGCAGGAACTAGAGGCAATTGCACAGCCACATCAAAAGGTTTTGAATCTTGCATCTATTATTTTTCCATTTTCATCTACTTTTATCTGTAGTTACGTGGCATCTCCACAAGCTGGAGCTCCTACAAGTCCAGTTCCTACCTTGTCGTCATTGTTGTCCAATGATCCAACATTTCTTGGATTTTCATAGTGATCTACATACTTGTGATACAAAGCTACTGGAATTTGTGATACCTTCAAAGTACGTAATATTTTCGACGTTGTACTTTAAGGCCCTGACGGCATACCTTCTGTATTTATAAAAAACTGTTCCGCTAGCTTATGTTTACCACTTCACCTAATTTTCAAACTATCATTCACTCAAAGAGTCTTTCCAACGAGACGGAAAGAAGGTGAAATATTGCCTATTCATAAAGGAGGCGATAGACATCTTGTGGAAAATTATCGACCTATCACTAAACAACGTTTTAAAATAAATATTTGGGCGGGTACGAGAAGGATACCTTAGCTTTCTAGCCAATAACCTACCAGAACTTTTGGAACAGACCTTAGACAACATGCTATTACAACGGAGACAGAATTTGTGGTTTCTTCATGACGGGGCACCACCACACATATTTAGATGCGTCATTCAGTATTTGAATGAACATTATCCAAATCGCTGGATCGGTCGAAATGCTCCTGATCCTCG